TGGGAGCCTTAATGCCCAGGGCAGCAAGTCTCTCAGCCATACGCTGCTCAGCCTGCTGCTTGATGAAAGCAGCACGCTCCTCGGGGGTCTTGTAAGAAGAGTACGAGCCTCCGGGAGTGGTGGTACGCGATGGAGGCGCAGGGCTCTCGAGGCGGGCGGCGGGGCTGGCCGCAGCAGGCTCCCTTGAAGATGCACGAGCAGCCGAAGGCGAGGACGAGGAAGTAGGACGACGGTCCTGGGCCCGAACACGTGCAGCACGGCTAGATCGCTGAAGATCAAAGATGAAATCTCTGACTTCATCCTCGACGCCCAGAGCGTCTTCCCAGCGTCTCTTCTCGTGTTCGTTGGAGGCCGTCGTGGTACCTTCTTTCAAATTGTCTTCAATGCCGCGAGCAAAGTCACGCACAGAATCTTCCACATCTCTGACCATGCTCTCGTTGTTCTCCTTCTCGGTCTTGATCTTGTGATTCTCCTCCTCGAGGCGCTTGGGGCCTTCGTCGTCGAAGCTCGACTCGACCTTCTTGCCCGTCAAGGCCGCAGTACGTTGCTGCATCATAGCCTTGGCCCGGGCTTTCAGCCTGTCAGACTCTGTTACGGCACCCCCAGGACCAGTGCCGACAATAGCAGCGGCACTGTTCGGGTGTGCCTTTGCATCCTTGAGCCTGAAGAGCTCGAGTCTTGCTTCTGCAATGGCCTTTTCGGTCTTGCGAACGGCAGAAGCCAGTTCAGGGACCTTGTCTGTGAGAGTCTGGAGCTGTCGCTTCAAGGATCGTCTCTCGGCTTGCGAGTCTCCCGACGAAAGTGCGGCATCCGGGTTCGCATCGATGTCATCCTGGATGCGGCGAATGCGGCGGTACAGCTCCTCGGCCTCCCGACGGTCACGTCTGTCAAGCAAGTCATCCTCCTCCAAGTTCTTCTCATCAGCAAAATCCATGGCGTCGAGGAGGACTTCCTTCTCCCGGATCTTCTTTCTCAATTGATCAAGTCCGAGGTCATCGTATGCGGTAGAGGATGGCGACTCGGGGCGAGGCGAGTTGTTGCCAACACGGCGACGAGCGCTAGACCTGTATCCGACCTGCTCATCGTTGTTCTTGAAAACGGTGGCATCCTTACGCCCAGTGCTCTGGCCGCCCGGGGTGCCTCTCAACGAGTGAGTCTTCATATAGCTAACACCAGTCTTTTGAGGAAGCAAAGCGGCACCAGACTTGGAACGGAACTCTGATTCCTGGCTCAACATTGACCGAATGGTGCCAATAGACTCATTGAAGTTTCTCGTCGAGGGAGGAACAAGCTCGGGCGGCAGCTGGTTAGGCAGGGGGTATCCGTTGAGCTTTCTGTAAATCAAATGCATGGCAACTGCGAATTCGTCCAGGTTCAGGCGACCCTTGTTACCATTGTCAGCAAGGGTCCAGACACGCTCAAGGTCGGGCTTCTCGAGACCACTCTGTCCAAAGATTTCAATGGCGACGTCTCCGCCAATGAAGCCCTTGTGAAGTCCATCCCAAGCCTTGAAGAGGGCGTCGTAGCGTTGCTTCTCCTCCTTGGTGATAGCCCAAGGAATGACGGCATTACCTTGCAGACCCTGCGTAGTGAAGCTTCCCTGCTCCCGTCCTTGCTGAGGCATCATTCTAGCCTGAAGAGCATCGATGTTGGGCAGGCCTGTGGAGGGAGCGTTGACGAGACCCCATTGGCCGGGGCGGCCGGTAGGCTGCGCGTTCAGAGGCGCAGCCATTGGACCTCCGCCCGGCGTGAGGCTGTTGCCATATCCGGTGGGCATGGGCGGCATTGGCGGTCGTGGACCGTTGTATCCCGTGGGTTGAGGGTTCATTCCGGTGGGCTGCGCATTAAGGCCAGGGAATCCGGTCTGTTGAGGTTGCAGGCCTTGTGTCTGCCCGAAGCCCTGAGTTTGCTGCCCGGGGAAACCGGTCATCTGTGCCTGCAAAAGCTGAGAGTTTGAGGTTTGAGGCTGAGGCTGATGAATCGTGGGTTCGGTGCTCGACCTGCCGGTAGCAGTGCTGCCGGGTGTATCTCGGCCGGCGTCCTCGGCAATGCTGAAGTTGATGATGTCCACGACGCTGGACACCTCATTCTTGATGTTCTCGGGCAATGTCGGGGGTATGGACTTTCCCGTGAGCTTCAAGTTGCACAAGTACATTGCGAGAGCGAATTCGGGGAAGTGAAGCTCTCCAGATCGTGTCGTATCGGCAAGAGTCCTGCATATTACCCCATTAGTACAATTTACTACAATGACAAAGCTAGAAAGGCACTGACCAAATGTGTGAGAGCGAGTCGCCATCCAAGCGTGATCGCATCAACAGGTCTCTCGCCTTGTCTCCGGACATTGTAGTTGCCTGGCCTTCACCAACCGCAGACTTGAAGAGAGTCTCAAACTTGGATTGATCAGGAGCTGTAATGAAAGATAGTCGAATGTTTGGGATCTTGTTGGCAGACTTGGGGCGGCGACCCGCTGGCTTCGGCGTGCCTCCGGTTCGGAAAGAAGCAGCCATCTGGCTAAAACCCGTAGCTTGGGGCTTGATAGGGGTCGGGGCAGCCGTCTGCTGCTGGCTCTGGAAGCCAGTAGGTTGAGGTTGCTGAGCTTGTGGGAAACCAGTCTGCTGAGGCTGTTGCTGTTGAGCAAAGCCAGTCTGCTGGGGTTGCTGCTGCTGCGGAAAGCCGGTCTGTTGAGGCTGCTGCTGTTGAGCGAAACCAGTCGGCTGAGGCTGCTGTTGCTGGCCCGGGAACCCGGTCTGCTGAGGCTGCTGCTGCTGTTGCTGAAACTGCGACTGGTACTGCGAGGGGATCGACGGCATCGGGGGAGCGCCGGTCTGGAAGCTCTGCTGCGGCTGGGCCTGGCCGGGGAAGCCGGTAAACTGGGGCTGGAGCTGTTGAGGAGCTTGCTGCTGCGGTTGCTGCTGCTGTTGCATCCCCGGGTAGCCAGTGAATTGCTGTTGCAGTGGCGCCTGACCGAAACCCGTGGGCTGAGGAGCAAAAGGACTCGGCTGCTGCTGCTGCTGCTGCTGGCCTGGCTGCTGGCCGAAAGAGCTTCCACCATATTGCTGCGCGCCGGGCCGTTGGCTGTTGCCGCCCAGGAAGGCGTTCGAGTTCGAGTACATGATGGGCGAGGGTTGGTGCCGACGAGGATGTCGGGCTTCGAAAAGAAAAGGTCAGAGATGGAGGGACTCCTGATGGAAGGGTTAGGAGACACAAGACGATAAGGGGATTGAGAATTGGATGGGACGAACGTCACGAGCGGAGGATCTCCGTCGATCAAGATTTGGCTGAGAGAGCTTTTGCCAGTTCTTATTTGGGAAAATTGCAAAAGCAACAGGTCGCGGAGGAGGCGGGGATAGGAAAAGCAGAAAGTCAGTCGTGGCCGGAGTTGATGGCAACGCTGGATGACGAAGCGCTCACAAGTGTCCAGCTTGACACGGAGGTTTCAGTAGGAAGGTGCGGCGGCTTAAACGGGGGGGCCAGTAAGGTGAAGTGGTTGGTTTGCCCAGTTGGAACCTGGCAAGCCTGGCGGCAGACCGAACAGGGATCTGTCAGTGTCCAAATGTGGCTTGGGCTCCAAGTGGGTCTCCTATTGCAGAACATTACGTGATGCCGCATGGGCTGGAACCGCGTACAGTTATGAGGTGCATATGTCCTTAGCGGAGCGCCTATCTTCGGCATCGTCAAGCTTTACAGGACCATTGTGCCCAAGAACCGAATCTAGCCCAGAGCTTTCAACAATTGGTCTATTTGGGATTGCTTATAGATGGGATAGGTTGCCGTCAATTAAGGTCGCAAGTCTCTTAACAGAAAGGCAGATAAGTGCAAGGTATCTCGGTTCAAGTCGGCATGGGTGAGCCCAACCTCGTTTCTGACTTCCATTCGCTTAAACGTACGCTCGGTCCTCGATAAATGCATCGAAGCTTCGCAGGCGTGTGTCGTCCAAGTTCATTGTTCGAAGTCGTCCATATTACTTCAACTGACAAGTGTGCTTTGCCACATTCCATCCTCTTACAGACTTATAGAGTAGGACTGCTAACATCGTTTATATGCCAAGCATACAAATACTTAGGTTATAGCCACAGCTTCTGCCCCATAATACATTATCGCTCCTCGTGTCTTGTAGTCTTGTCCCCCTCCCCGCATCTGCAGCATCAGAGTTTCGACACGTCGGTCCGCGCAAACAGGGAGATGGCAGCCAGTGGTCCCAATGCATGGGCAAACACAAGCCGCCTGCGCCTGCGCGTAACGTATATGCAGGGATTGCAGCAAGTCTTGGTGGGTATTGCTCAAGTGAAACATCTCAGCCTCTACGAATACAGAGTAAGGTACCGCTGCGCCCTTACGGAGTCTTGACACCATTCCACCTGGTCCAAACATGCGGCCCTCCTTCCCGCACCGCCGGCCAATGGCCAACAACATCCGGGTCCGGGTGGGCGCCGCATGCAGTGGCCCGCAATCCGGGGTTGGCGATGCGTACCATGCGCGGAAACATTATCATTGTCAGGCGCGGAGCTACTGTTATCCTTTCAATGAAGCGGACATGACCAAGCCACGTTAAATAATCTCACAATTATGTATTATCGGTGAGAAACTGACTACCCTCCAACCATAGCATACCCCATTCTCTGATAGTATTCCTACATGGGCAAAATCCAAAACAGAGTAAGTATGCTGAGCGAGGAACCTCCGACGCCGGAACAGGAAGCCAACCGTGCCCATGGCACGCAATAGAATCAAACACTAGTACTAGAGCTTTGCTGCGAGTCTGGGTATCAATCCCGCGCGGTAATCCAAGAAAACGCCTGTTCCTCCCTTTTATGACGCCTTGTGAAACACTGAAAAATCTGAAAAATGATGTTGCCGTCGCTAATGTCTAATGATTTGGTAAACGTGGGAGATTGTATGGGGGACACATGATTGGTGTGTTTCGTGTTTTTTTCGTTTCGCTTTTCTTTCGTTCCTTCTTTTTCAATGTTTTTGTTCTTCGTTTCGGTTGTTTACTTGATTCATCTGAGTCTGGTTGTCGACACTGAGGGCCCCGCTTTCCTGCCGACGTCCTGGTCCTGACCTTGCGTCGAATCGTCGAGGTTGAATCCATGTTGTATCATATGTTTGAGAAGAGAAAGGTCGAACTCATCAGAGTTCTCGTCGATGATGCGAGGTGCATCGCGAGACGGTGGTGCGCTGGACGCAATTGAATACTCCTTGACAGGGCTCTCAGCAGGAGCCCATTCGGGAGGCGTCGGAAGGCCGGAGGAACCGCTGGCGACCTCTGTCGCGGGGCTTTCCATGACTTCCTCGCGAGTGACATGGTGAGGAGCCGCCAAGGCGCCAAACTCTTCCATCCCCTCCAGAGGCGGAGTATTTGCGCCAAAGTATACACTGCCGCGGTAGCCAGGCTGCATAATCTTGCGTCGGGTCTTCATAGCCTTGATGGCAAGGCCTCCATAGACAGTGCCGAGCTCAAGGGCGATCCAGTCCTCCTGGCCTTCCACTTGAGGATCCCACTGCATAATCGCCATCTCCTTTTCAGAGCTCAAGGTCCGATTTCTCTCGAGAAGACGTTCAATCTGAGCCGTCTTGACGCTCCACTCGTCCTTCAAGTTCTCCATGAGAGCATTGTTCTTATCCATTTCCATTGCGAAGTTGTCAAACGTGGCCTTTGAAAGGACCTTGGACGCGCGGCGGGCTCGAGACGATGTCGGCTGGCTCGTTGGCATCCCAACGTTCTGGACGCTGAACTTGATGGCCCGGCTGAGCTCGGACCGAGAGAATGGGCAGAATTCCTGAATAGAGCTGTTGTGGTCAAGAGATCTGACCATATGGGACAAGTTGGACAGATTGAAGTTATTCTCCTGTACGTCAAGCGTCGTGAGGGTCTGGTTGAGTTGGATCGCATGTGCCAGATCACCGATGTTCAAATTCAACTTCTGATTCCGGATTCGCAGGTGACGCAGCGTCTTGTTCTCAGCGAGTCCAGAGAGTGACCGCGAGAAGCCCAGGCCAAGTTGACCCTCGTCGAGCTTAGCGGAGAATCCAGAGAAGTCGAGGTATTGAACTGATTTGTTCGTGGCAAAGAACTCTGACACGGCCATGCAGGCGTCCTCGCTGACTTGTCCAGGGGTCGAGGTTCCCACCAGGCTCAGCAGTCGAATCGAGTTGTTGATCGAGAGCGCGTTGATGAGCTTTATATAGTTGTCTTCGTTTTGAAACTCAACCATATCCATGAAGAGGGACGTCGGCCCGAAGTTATCAACAATGGCAGATACCAAATCGTCCGTGCCGTTCTCGAGATAGTTGCCGCTGATAGAGCAAGTAATCACTCTTGCTTCACCCATGCTGCGAAAGAGAGTGGCAATTTGGGAACCGGTCATTGCACAGTTGTTGAGGTCAAGCCTGCGGAGATAATCGGCTTGTGAAGACTTCAAGTAGTCGCCGAGGACTTGCAACGTGGCGTCATTGAGCTAGGACAGAATCAGCAACTGCATGAAAGCAAGGTTTTACCTAACTTACGTTGATGTGCGAGAGATCCAGCTCCTCAAGGCCCCATCCCATGATAGTCTCATCAAGGAAGATGGTATCCTTGGCCTGAGTGAGGCAATTTCCCGCGATGCCGAGTTTTCGCAAGTTGTAGAAATGAGCCAGATTCTGCTTCACCGCCATGTGGTCCACATGTCCAATGTTGCGAGAAGTATTGAGGGCCTCCATCTTATATCCCTGTGAGGGTAAAGCATCCCAAACTTCCTCCAAGCTTCTCTCATCAAGATTGCATCTAGAAATGTCGAGTTCTTTGAGAAGATCGGGGATATGCAGGACGCCCACTGAATACCATTAGCCATGTGAATTGTAATAACCCACGGAGTCCACTCACCAAGATCGTCAACTTCAGCTGCCGTCAGAGGGTTCCCCCCGACCAACAAAGTATCACAAGGAGTACTGCGGGTTTTGAGCAGAAGAAGGATAGGACGAACGACCTCAGGATCCTTCTTGGTCCCGGCACGAGCGCGTGAAACACCGACAATATTCCGCGATGCCAGAACGTTGGTTAAGTCTATCTTACGGACAGAACCAGAGGTGAAGGCAACGGCGTGAATTTCCTGAGATAACAGTGGGGCAGTCTTGATGATATCTCGATGCATGGGGTCAATGACAAACCCTACCACGGTCAGCTTGAATGCTTAGAAAACGATGGGTAACTGCCGACTTACCATCGCGAGAAATGTCAGCTATGGACTCGTCCCATCCTGGAACGTCGGTCAGGCCGCAAAGGGGCGAGAAATCGACGTCACGGAACGATAGAGCCTTGAAGTAGTCGTTGAAGCGGAGGGCCTTGAAGACTGCCAAAAGCTGAAGTGCCGTGTATCCACCTGCTTCCTTCGCAGGGAGGAGTCGAAATTCTGGGCAGTGCTCTCGGCGTTCGCACTTCCAATTCACAGTCCATTCAGGAGGCTTGCACTGGAACGTCGCACAATACGCCTCGAGGGTGCGCTTGAGTCCGCCATAGTCTTGACCTGTTGGAAGGAGTAATTGAGCCGTCAGGCCCCTAATATCGAAAATGTGCCGTTGCATGTGTTGAGGCCAAGCAGGCTTCACTGCTCGATCTGCCTTCATGAACGTCATGACGATTTCTCTGTACCACCGACTAGCCAGCTCAAGTCGTTTCTCGTTTTCACAGGGGAGTCTTGGGCAGGGGTTAGTAACACTGTTGGGGCCCGCAAAATACACCAGACACATACCGGAATCCAAGCACGAACCGCTCCTCGTGCGGGACCATAGTCGCCTTCAAGCGGACCAGAGATGTCAAGCCAAAAACTACGGTGTTGATTTCGATATCCTGAGGGGCTTTGTACACGGAAGTCCTGGCAACTCGCACAAGATAGCACTTGTTCTGGCCGAGAAGCAAGTAATACGATGATCCGTCACGAGACTTTTTGGCATTTTCAATGTTCTCGGCTTTGGTACTGAGGAGGGTGGTGCGTTGAACGACTGGAAAGATATCCAAAGGGCAGCCTCGGCACGCGGGCTCTTGTGTGGCAACGATGTTGTAAATGGCGGACTCGACGTTGGGGGCAATAAGCCCCTTTGGCACAACGGCTGAGCCCACAGACTCACGAATAGCATGGCGAATTTCCGACATCCAATCGTCTCGCTCAGTAGGCATTCCAAAGAATAACTTTGTGCAAGCCCAAGATACCATTGGCGATGTCTCGGACCACCAGACATCCAGCCCAAAGTGAGGGCTTACACCCTCTTCGTTGAAAATGTTGACGATCCTACTCAGGGGAATTTCGACCCGACCATCAGAGTGTGGCCCATCCTGACTCAAAGTGGAAGACGTCGAAGACCTCTTCAGGCGCTGAGACGGCGGGGCAAGCTCAGCAAAGTTCGCCCTTGCTGACTCGACACTGCTGAATTTGATGAGGTGCCCATCAGTTAAGACAACATACTCGGCGCGCGATTTCCACAGACGGCTGTCAGTCTTCAAGGCTCCGTGCTTGAGAATTTTGATAGGAACCGGCGCCGGCGGCTGAGGGCTGAGGTAGTTGGGAGTCTCCTCGGACATGTGCGAGCTCGCGGAAGAGTCCTTGGAAGCTCGTCGGTTGAGGCGGTAGAAAATAGAGGACGAATTTGAGCCGCCAGATCCGTTGTTCTTGTGAAGAACCCGTTTACTCTTCATTTGGAGGCCGCTCGAGGCCTCCTCAGACATGGAGGCGAGATCGGTTGAGGAGGAACTGCTGCTAACCTTCCTGAAGGTCTTTGCTAAGAAACTACGCCTCTTGCCGCCCAGAGCTGGTGTCGAGACACTTCGAAGCTCTGAGGCCGAGCTTTTACTTGTGGTGTGTGGCTCTCCATGATGTGTCGTCTGAATGGTGGGCAGCATTGACCGTCGGTTCGCGGCAGCGTCCATGGTCGACAGAACTGACGTGCAGTAATCGGGGGTCCAAGCCCAGCCTATTCCGTCGTCGTCGTGGGAATGCCTCGGCCAATTCGGGCCCTCGAGGCCGTCAAGGTCGAGTAATCGATTATTGGGCCATGTAACGTTATCCAAAGGCAAGTCGTCGAGATTAATCAATACTATGGCGATTGCGCTGTTTTCACTCGGCGAGAAGAAGGTGAGAGGAGAGTAAGGGGGAAAGAGAGAAGGCGATGTATCTCCGTCGACGAGCTAACGAGGCGAAGATGGATGGTTCGAGATAGTAGAGAAGTTGAAGTTATCAGAAGGTGGGAGAGGTATCAGAGGAAGAGGGGGTCAAAAAGTGTGTGCACAAGAAGACGGACGGCGGAGGGGTGTTAATAAGTGACGGTCCTTATCCTCTGTTTAGAGAGGGAGAGGTGCGTCTAGGTTCGGGGGGCAGGGAATAGCTGTTTGAAGAAAGAACCGGAGTGCAGCAAGCCTCCGGCAACAACCAGGAACCTTGCTGGGAAAGGTAAGGGAAGACTGGAGGCAGCGGCGGTACTTCGTACACTACGCTAGGTATCCTTACGGTCTACGGATAGCGTGGTAGCAACGAGCGAGGGGTGAAATTCGGACGATTAGGGTGAGTGGATGCGGATGGATGCCCCGAGTCTTGGAAGAAGAGGACCTGACCCTGGCCGCTAGGAGAGACAAGGCAGCACGAGTCGGGCAAGGTGCGGTCAGATCAGGGACTCTGTTGGGCAAGGGGAGGATAAGGTAAGATGGGATGAGATGAGATAGGAAGAGTCGGGCGAGTAGGGTTGGCCGGATTCAAGGTGAGTAGAGTCTGAGGTGAGTGAGTGAGTGGTGAGGATAGGTAGCGCCGGGTTGGTCAGACAGGTATGGGAATGATGGATTTGGATTAAGATGTTGGAGAACAAACACGACCTCAGAGACCAAGAAAGATGGTGTTCACGGCACGCCGCGCAAGAGAGACACAGCGAACAGGAAGAATCGGAATTGGGGGAGCATGAAGGGGGGTGGGGGTGTGCGTGGATACAAAAGAGTACTTGTTCATTCAACTAGGAGGTTTGGAGACGCGAGAGGAAGAGATGAGTCTACGCAGTAATGAAAGTGAGAGGCCGGTGCTGAGGGCCATGTACGTGTATCCATAGGGGAAAGGCGAAAGACAACGAAGCTAGGTTGATGCAGCTATGATGTTATCGATGCACATCCTGTTTTTGGCCCCCCGGAAGCGTCGCCCAATGAGACAGACGCGGGGTTTCTCCGTTGCTGCCATTGCCAAAAAAAAAAAAAAAAAAAAAATTCGATGGGAAAGAGAGCGGGAGAGAGACACCCAAGAGAGACAGGCAAGAGCAAGGGCACTTCACCAATGAGAGGGCGTTTCTCGAGGCGGAAAGCCTTGGCCCTGCAGTGGGGTTTCTGCTGTGTGCGGCCCTTTTCCCCTGCAACCTACAAGGAAGGTACCGAGAATCTGTGTATCCTTACGGATACTTCGTACAATCTTCTGTGCACGCGAATACACAATCTACTACCATCACCTATGTGTTGTTCACAGTTCTCCTCCGCCTCGACATGGGTACGTTGTTCTGCCCACTCCTGGCAGCTGAAAACAAAGTTGATGGAGCTCACTCAGCCGCTGTTTGATGTACAGACAAAACGCACAAAACAAAACACCAGACGAAGAGGAGAACTCTGAGCGAAAGATCAAGAAACGAACCTTCAGAGGTCAGAGGCCGCTTCACCATATCCACGAACATCCACGCGCGAGCATCGAAACATACGCCAAAGCCCACTCTTATCCACTCCATTATGCACGTTTTACGTGGATCATGGTGCCATGGGTCTGTGGCTCTATGGCTCCCAGCTTGCCAAGGGGAGGGGTGGGCCATACCTATCTTCCTCTGGCGTCTTTGGAGACTGCACCTTGTCGGTACCACCAGAATTCGACTGACGAGCTTGCGAGGCCACCGGAAACTGCGTGCATCTCGTCACTCTCATGCATTTTTCACCATGGAATCACGGCACGCATGGCGCATCCGTACGGCACTCCTCGGCACTCCTCCTCCCCTCACCTCGCTGGCCCTGCTGCGTACCAGTCCTCCAGTGCCACCCTGTTGCTGTGCCTCCTCGCCTCAATTGCATGCCGTGAGGCCGGCGATGGCAGATGCAGCTTGCGACGCCCCGTCTCCGACCATGTACCACCTCCAAGTCCCAACATGCCCGAATCCACAAGAGAAAATGGGCTCTGCATCCACCAAAGCCCGCCGCGCGCAACCAGTGACCAGCAATCTGGGATGCTGTTGCTACGCTGCCGGTATGTCGACGGCGGCTGCGTACGCAGCAGAATGGCGGTGCAACTTCAGCACGTCAACGCTTACCAAGTTTACCATTCGGCATAGTACAAGCTGTACAGCCCGTCCTGTCATCTCCAATACTTGCTCAGCTACGGTGGGCTATCGCGAGTAGTGGCTCCCGGCATCTCGGGACTTATGTCTCATAGCGTGATGTGCTATCCAGGTGTCTTCGTCTTCGCCCTCGCGGAAATCCATCCCTTCACGACCGCCAATTCCACTACTGCGGTAGCCGCAGATGCTCGACGCCGTAGATGCCGCGCATGCTACAAAGTTCGCTGCCATCCCAGAGTCGCCTAAGCCCAAGACGATGGATTCGGGTTGACTTTCAGTAACTCTGAATGGCTCCGTTGGCTTGCTCAGTCCGCCCACGCCCGTGACCAAGCCATGCCTGTCTTCTTGCCTCTGAGACCCGGTTATCCAGGGTCCTACGGTAGGGTTCTCTAATCGTGATCATCGATTGATTTTCCTGATGCCTCACTAGCTGCGATTTCCTTCTCTCTCTCCATTTTCTTTTTTCCGCTCTCAACTAAACTTTCTTCTGCAGCATGAATGATGAGGCTCCTCTCCTCGCCGTGGAGACGGCGCTAGAGCCGGTCAGGCCGAGAGTAAGGGTCGTTTCAAGCCACTTTCAATATTCAGCTTAATGGGGGCGCCCCGGCGACTTGAAATATCTCAAGATTGCTTCAAATTTCCCCTCCCCTTCGTTGCGCTTCGGCCGCCTCGCCCCCGGCTGCGGCTTCTTTCCACGCCGAAATGATTTGCTCAGGGCGCTCTTCTCTTGGCCTCTGGAGACTGGAGGGGTCTTGTCGCTCTTGTGCGCGTAAAGCTGCATCACAGAGCAAGGGGAAACCCTTTCTCGTGTTCTCTGAATAGACTTTTCTTGTTTCTAGAAGGAGTCGGGTAAGATAAATGAACCAAGAGAATTCTGACGGTCAATTCCCTGGCCATGTCAGCCCCATTTTATACGGATACGAGGGGGAGGTGGTCTTGGGACCCTTCGGTTTGTGACTTTGTCCACGGCTGTGTAAGTGCACTACGAAGATCCGTACATATTCGTCGGTGTGCTGGGGCGCCTTCACCCAAGCCTTCTTCCGGTAATTGGCAAAGGATTCAAGACTCGACCTTGCCGAGAGCGAGCACGAATTTGAAAGAGGGAAACAGAACCAGTTGGCACGAGAGTACACCATTGCGGCGGTTGTGTATGGCAAATAATGTTGGTTATCAAGAAATTTGGGGGTAAGGTAAAGTTGTTGGACCGCCCGCGTCAAGCTCAAGAAGGTGCCATCGTGCCATGCGGCCGGTTTCAGATGAAGTAGAGACGATGGTGAGGAATGATTAAAGGTGTTTAAGACGCCCGGGCACGCTCCCTTGAAGATTAGAGAAAGCCCATTTCAAGAAATTTCCCAGGAATGGGACGCTGGGCGGCCAACGCGATCGTCTGAACGACCCGGCCGAACACCTTTGCAGTTTGCACCCTTTCACCACGGATGCGAAGAATTGTGAAACCAAACCCGCGCCGAACAAATTTGGGGGGGCATGGGGGCACATCCAAGGAACAACCGGGCTTTGAAGCGGGCGGGGGGGCCAAATTGTCAAGGACTCAAGATTGCGACTTGTCTCTGATCGCCGTCAGGACAGGGGCGTTCCTGATGTGATTGTATCCGTACGGCGGTCGGAGTATAACTACACCTGTACGGATTTACAAATGTGAGACCTTGAGAAGGGGGAAACACACCGGAAAGCCACTGCCGCACAATTTGTGCGCCACTCGCGAGCGCTCAATCCCATCATCATCAAACCGCAAAATCCACCAGCAGTCCTGGGCCAAGGCGTGCCCCCGATAAAACCAAGTGAGGCGAATATAGAGGTGTCCGTTTTTCCTGGAAATGAGCCGGGCTTGTGCAGGACTGCAGGTAAACAGTTGCCCTGGACACGGGCCGTGGCCCGTATAACACTGTAATCCAAGTTTCTCCATCTACCTAGTATATATCCTTGCTTTCGGCCGCAATTTCGATGTCGTTGCGGGTATCACTATCATGACCCTTTCGGATGTTTTTTTCACCACGCGACACGCGCTCCATGCTCTTACCACCGATTCCACGAGCGAGTCGCGCGCGACACAAGCGTGATACCGCAACACGGAGCGCACGTTTTTCTTCCTAAACTTTCCCGTCTCCTTTAATTCTTGAACCACCTGGCACGGACCTCCCGCATCCAGTCCGACGGGTGCCTTGGGGACGATGGACCTGACTTTGGTGTCGAAAGCGGGGAACGGCCGGCAACCCGTTCGACAATCCGGCCCGTCTCACTCTTTCCAACCACCGCGGTCGGCCCAAGTATCCATCCCGCGCTGTGTTGCTCACGTAGGACGCTACCAGCAAAGCTTAGAGACAAAAAAAAAAAATTGGTGGGATAAGGTGAGGACTCCGACATCGATATTCCCGCATCCAGGGATCCATCTAGAAAAATGATCGATTGCATCTGGGGAAGGGACGCGTTATCATACTTGCGTACAACGAGGCGGAGAAATCCCACTTCCCGACACTTTTGCATCAGATTTTTACGATGTTGGGAGTTTGCTTCCGGTCGATCAGTGATTAACTTCCCCCGGAATTTCCCCTCACCAGGCCTGGCTGCTCGTGACGCTTTAGAGACAGCATTCCAGATTGGTTCCCAGTCGCCCGGGGGTATGTATCCGTACACGGCCGTCCGAGGAGAGACCTGGATACGGATACATATCTTGTCAATTCCGCTAGTACTTCATTCCAATATCCTTCGTCTCACTGCCACGCTGCGGCCAGTCTGTAATGATGTCACGGTTTTCACCGATGTCTTGCCATTTTGCTCGATCTGTCAAATTTGGCGCAGCAAACGTACCTTAGCAAGCTTGGGTAGTCGTGCGCGCTGTCAGGACGACTAGCAAACTGACGGACTGCTCATTTTCCTTCGTCGTAAGGTAGGAATAGCTAGTCCTCTTGTTGGAACAGGCCGGATCGTCGCAAGCCAAATGGCGCATTGAAGTTTTGGACCGGAACTAGTCCCTAGCTATCACCTAGCTGTACAAGCTCCCGTGTATGGTGGCTTTTCAGGAACTGGTCCTGGCTCCTGCTGTTCTCCCACGCCCCCTTCTTTGTTAAATTGATTTTTTTGGTGGCTTGTTGGTGACCTCTTCCCGAAGCTGCCGAAGCCCTCCCTGGTAAGCGTTACTACACGAACCATGCGAGGAATGTCTCTTATCATTCAACGGCAGTTGGGGCTTTTAATTGACCATGCGTATGATTATGACTGTCAGTCGATGGAAAAGTGAGAATGATGCCGGCCATTCGCCCGTCAGCGATGACGTTGCAAACAGTCGTTTTCTGATGTGAAGAAGATGAAGCGAAAAGAGACTGCGGTTGATCGTAATCATCTGTGCCCAGATTGTCACTGACCTGCAGTCCTGCACCAATGTTTTGGAGCAATCATGTCTCAGATACATAGACCTTAGACGCAAGTGCACTAAAGCAAGAAAGAGCTCCTGCAGCTCAGCTCCGTCAGCTGGTTGATCAACATGTTGATCTTCGACACGAGGCGCATCTTCAACCTTATGTGGCGCTGTGGCTGGAGACACGAGTTAGAGCGTCAGCCATACGCACCGCCACATGCACTGCCACATGATGCTCAAGCCACGTAGGAAGTTGTAGAACCGACATTCCGACCGACCAACCGACCACCTCACGCATCAAACCTAAATCCCCCCAAGCAAACCGAGCCCGAGGTCGGGACCTTGCTGCATCTGCCGTCGGATTATTTTGCCGAATTTGGCTCGCTTTCACGGATCCCGCCCCCGGCCTCCGCATACCGACGCACTTCGCAACCGCAAAGCTGCACTTGACCGCTCGCCGTTCGAGGGCTGGCAGAAACTCGGCAACCCAACTCAACAGAAAATTGGAGGGGCTGTCCCACTTTCGCGATCTTACGATATCTGGTTGCACGCTCGCCCTTCCAGCTTCGACATCGTCACCGATTGACTGCGACAGCTTTCCCTATTCCCCCAGCTTCGCGGTTGTCTAGTGAGTAGCACGTGTTTCCTATCCATGACATCGACTGACCTATTTTCCTTTTTGGCAATTATCCAGATTTCCCGAGACCCGTAACGAAAGAGCTAGTAAGCTCCCAGCTACACGTCCTATCCCGCTTTCTGTGGAGAAAAAGAGTCCTCGGACACCGTCTTCAAAATGTCCGAATTGACTACCCGCAAATACTTTGACAACATCTACATTCCCGCTGGTCTGATCGTCTTCGGATGCTTCATCACCAAGCGCGAATGGACGCCGTACGCTGTTGCCCTGGCGCTCGCGCTGGCAGCCTACAAGTTCAACGCCATGCGTGAGTTCGGCCCCTCTCGGAATACCTCGGAATTGCCCACTGACAACCCCCCTCATGCAGAGATCAAGAAGGTCCTGAAGCCTGATACCTTCCAGGACTTTGAGCTCAAGGAGAAGACCATCATCTCGCACAATGTCGCCATGTAAGTCGTACTCCCAAGCTTCAAAACCTGACATTCCCAGCTGACAAGCGTCCGAAGCTACCGCTTCAACCTCCCCAGCGAGAAGGCCATCCTCGGCCTGCCCATCGGTCAGCACATCTCCATTGGTGCCAACTGCCCCCAGCCTGATGGCACCACCAAGGAGATTGTGCGCTCCTACACTCCCATTTCTGGCGACCACCAGCCCGGCTACTTCGACCTCCTGATCAAGTCCTACCCCACCGGTAACATCTCCAAGTACATGGCGTCGATGAAGGTTGGACAGACGCTCAAGGTCAGAGGTCCCAAGGGCGCCTTCGTCTACACCCCGAACATGGTCCGTCACTTTGGTATGATTGCTGGCGGCACTGGTATCACTCCCATGCTCCAAATCGTTCGCGCTGTCATTCGTGGCCGCCCCACCGGTGACAAGACCGAGATTGACCTCATCTTCGCCAACGTTACCCCTCAGGATATCCTGTTGAAGGAGGACCTGGACGCCCTTGCCAAGGAAGACGCTGGCTTCCGTGTGCACTACGTTCTTGACAAGCCCCCTGCGGGCTGGACCGGCGGCGTCGGTTACGTCACCGGCGACATGATTACCGTAAGGCCTCCCAGTGGATCTCGTACTCTGTGTGCAGAGCTGACATATAATACAGAAGCTCCTTCCCAAGGCTGCCGACGACGTCAAGCTTCTGCTTTGCGGTCCCCCGCCCATGGTCAGCGGACTGAAGAAGACGGCCGAGACCCTTGGCTTCAAGAAGGCCCGCCCCGTGAGCAAGCTCGAGGACCAAATCTTTGCTTTCTAAGCTTGTCAAAGCTTGAGGGAACGTGGCCTAAACAAACGAAAAATAACATTGCGTGGGAGGAAACGGCGTTTTGCATGTTGATGGGCACCAGGGGAAGTCGATATAGATGCATTTCCAGATTTCAAGGTGCTGTTCCATGGGTTCCGTAGATAAGAGCTTCTGCATTCGGATAGCTATGTTGCGACAGAGCTGTCATGTAGAAAGTGTGCCCCACCTTACATAATGCCACTGCGTCCTAATCCCTGCAAGTTGACGTCGCAAAGTGAACCGACCACTGCTTTCTGTGAACCAGCGTGCTACAACCACCAAAATTCTCTTTCTTTCAAATCATTTCACAACACACACCCGTCGACACTCAGCGCCATGTCAGACGGTCCCAAAGCTCCGAGGATAGCGATCAGCTTCGGCGGCTCTTCCAGCTCAAAAAACAACAAGAAACCGTCGCGCCCGGACCCACCATCATCACTCGGCAAACGGTCACGAACGAATGCGCTAAACAACTTTGACTCGGACTCGGACGGCGAGCACGATCATAGCCGCGGACGACACGAAGCGATTACAGAAATTGGCGGTGACTCTGATCGGAAACGAGAGAAGAAGCCCCGTGAGCTGGTGATTGAGAAGCAAAACAACCGCGACTGGAAGGCGGAGTTGCGCGGACGCAGGGGAGGCAAGAATCTGCTGCCTGCCGAGGTGCAGGCGCAGCGAGAGCAAGAACGGAACGGCACACAACAAGAGTCAGAGAGAGAGCCTGCCGATGCGGAGAAGCAGGTACAATGGGGGTTGACCGTCAAGAAGCGCAAGGCGAGCGAGGAGAATACCACACCCACAGGTCAGGATGAAACGGCAGCAGATGACAATGACGGCCAGGGTGGTGATCGATCACCAAATGAGAAACGGGCACCTCGCACAGCGGACGAAGACGCCATGGATGCCTTACTCGGGAACAAGCGCCAGGAGGAAGAAGACATTGTCATCCAGGCCACGGAACAGGACGCCTACCTCTCCGACATTAAGCATGTGGGTGAGGACGCGACGCTCGCAGACTACGACGCGATACCGGACGGCGAGTTCGGCGCCGCGCTGCTGCGCGGCATGGGCTGGGATGGCAAGATGCGCGGCCCCAAGAAGAAGCAGCCGACCGAGAGGCGGCAGAACCAGCTCGGCCTGGGGGCCAAGAAGCTGGAGGGCGCCGAGGACCTGGGGCAGTGGAACCACGGCGGAAAGAAAAAGAGCGGGCGGCCGAGGCTGGACGAGTACCGCCGCGAGGAGGAGAAGAGGCGCAGCGAGCGCAAGGAGCGCAGGGGCGAGAGCTATAGGGACGAGAGGGATCGTGAGAGAGAGAGGGACCGAGATCGGGATAGGCATGGGGATGGGCACCGTGATAGGGAGAGGGAGAGGGAGAGGGATAGAGACAGAGATCGGGACTATTACAGCTCGAGACATCGGAGCGGCGATTCAAGACGATGAAGAATCTGCAGCGGGTTTGGCGAGAGGCCGTTCCCTGTTTCAGGTCGTGGCAGGGCTGAATAGTTTGTCCACGGATAAATACACCAACCAAACATGCCATTCATGATACTCAGTCACTATCGTGACTTCGGAACACAATGCTGGAGTATGACCGGAGCAATTGTACACAGTAGGATGCCTTGAAAGCCGCATCCTACTCAGGTTGATATTCATGTTCAGTAAGGCCGAAGACCCGCCGTCATTAGACAGCATTAATTGATGTCGGCGCTGCTCCCGCACTACCTACTGTGTGTACTTCAACCTGACCGCCGGTTCATTGTGGGGAGGTGGAAACGCCCAATATTTCCAAAGTATGGTACGCAGGCTTTTGGTCAAGTCAGAGTCACGGAGGCCGAAGAAACCGCGATGAAAAGACTTCGAACCCCATGGGGCTTCGCTGCATTCGTCTGGGGATTCCCCTTAGGCGCATTATCCACGCAGCCACGCAACCCTGAGGGTTGATTGAAGTTATCCAGGTCCCAATGGACGTGGCACCTTCTCGTGAGCATCGTTGCCCGTTATCTTCTTGTTTAGAGTTTGTCATAGCAATGGTCCCCCCACGAAGGCCTCCTTCAGTCGTATCATGGAGAAGGAGCTCTCGTGTCATGGGCCACTTCGACCTGAGAGGGCAGTGACCGCTGTGGGTTATGGACATCTGCAGTTCGTTCTATCCGTCTTCATTTCTTCTCCTTTTCCTCCTTCGCCATCCTACATACATCTCCTCGCCCTTTTCCTTCTCCCCAACAAAGTTGCTTCGTTCAACACACTCTGGATCGAGCATTTCTTCTGCTCCATGTTTACAACTCAGCTTTATCAGTATTCCATCGATTGCTCATTTCATCATGTCGTCTATACACGAAAAGCCCATGTCCTCTGTACAGGAAGTACAAGATAAGGAGATACCCGATACGATTGCCTCCAACCCGGAGGCCAAGGCTGCCAGAGACTACGAGGAGCATCACAACTACATGCAGACCGTCTCGAAGTACCTCCCCGCGATCAAATGGTCCATCTTCTTCGCCATGACCATTGTCGGCGAGGGTTACGACCTCGCTCTGATGGGCAACTTTTTCTCCTTGGATCAGTTCCAGAACCTCTTCGGTTACGCTCCGCAAGGGGGCGCTGTCAAGGAGATCCCAACACTCTGGCAGTCCTTGATTCTTACTTCAAGCCAGGCCGGTCAAGTTGCGGCCATGTACTTCGCCGGTCTGTCCATGGACAGGTTTGGCTACAGAAAGACGATGATGTTCTCTCTCGGATCAATCATGGTACTACTTCTCGTCAACTTCTTCGCGCCGGCGGTCTTGCCCACGGGAGGCTATAAGGCTGGTCTCGGCATGATCTTCGCCGGCGAGTTCCTCTTGGGACTTCCTTGGGGAGCTTTCCAGGCCTGCGTTCTACCCTATGCTTCCGATATCTCGCCCCTCAAGCTTCGCCCGACTCTCACCACTTTCGTCTCTATGTGCTGGATTTTCGGCCAGCTCTTCTCGACGGCGGCAATCAAGGGTGTTACGAACATCGAATCCAACGACCTCATGGCATACCGCATCCCCGTCGGCATCCAATGGATATGGCCGCTTCCTGTTCTCCTCTGCGTCTTCCTTGCCCCCGAATCGCCTTGGTGGCTCATGCGCCAATCTCGTTCCGACCTCGCACGCAACTCCCTTGCAAGACTCAACAAAGATCCGACGTATCCAGTTGACGGTCAGGTCAAGGTCCTCGAGCTCACCAACGAGCAGGAGAAGAGCAGTCAGGAAGATTCCAATATTACGTACCTGGAGTGCTTCCGCGGCACCAATCTTCGCCGTACCATGATTGTCGTCACCATGAACTTGACGCAACAGCTCTGCGGTTCGGCCCTCATGTTTTACTCAGCCAAGCTATACCAGAAGGCAGGCATGAGCAGCTCCAAGTCATACGACTTTACGCTCATCCAGTACGCAATCGGCATCATCGGTATCGTCTCTTCTTGGCCCCTGATGAACTACGTCGGACGCAGAACCATCTGGCTCTGGGGATTGATGGGATCCATCGTTCTCATGACAGGTGTCGGCGTGCTAGGCTTCCATAGCGATTCGCACCCGGCAGTTCCTTGGGTCATCGCAGTCATGCTCGTGATCTTCACAGGAGTCTACAATCTTTCCATCGGACCTCTCGTGTATGCTATTAACCCCGAGATTCCTTCGACCCGACAAAAAGCCAAGACACTTGTTATCGGCCGAGTAGCCTATCTCATCGCAGGACAATTCAACATGTGGCTTTTGCCAAGGATGTTGGAAAACGCTCCCAACGGATGGGGTCTTGGACCTCGCACGGCGCTGGTGTACGCTGCTATCAATGCCGCCTTCTATGTCTGGGCCTACTTTTGTCTGCCCGAGGTCCGAGACAGGACTCAGGCCGAGATGGATGAGCTTTTCAAGCTTAATATACCTGCTCGAAAGTTCCGCAGTACCGAGCTGACGGCTGAGTAAGGTGGTATTGTAGGTCAGCTGTTGCTCAAGCGGCTGTCCATTCTCGACTAATGGAAGACATCGAAGAGAGACGTCTCTGCTTCTTTTGTATTAGGCCCAGTGTTCAGTTTCGCGTGGTTTTGGAGTCCAGTATTGGGATAACGCATTACATGATAATTAGTAAAAGCAAAAGTTTCGAAAATGGATCTCCCCAATCGTTTTGTCTGTATAGCAGAAGCTACCTCCAAGAAGCATGTCTCGGCACTGCTCTTCTATGTGTGCAATATCGGTGATGACATACCCGTCCCAATCCAAGCTCTGTTAGTGACCCAGGGGTTGCCGGCACCAAAAGGTGCAGGATCCTTGGCCCCTGAGTCGCGTTCGTCTGCCCCACCAAAGCTGCCGCTGCGGCTGCTGCCGGAACTTGGTGGACTTCCCAATTTTAAGCTCCCTTCGCCAGTTCGAAACCATCTCTCCTACATGCTGCGATCCGCAAAGCAGCTACAATACACGAACACGACTCCAAAGCAGGGGCTTGACAGCTTCCTTTAACCCAATGGCCATCGAGTGCCAGCCTTAATATTTCATATCTTTCTTTTCCTTTTTCTTTTTTTGAACACGCTACCAGCTAAGACAAGCCACAATGCCTCAAAAATCCCCCAAACCGAAGGGTCCGCCGCCCGCCGACTACAAAGCCATTGCCGAGCAATTCGCCAAACTGAAGCGCCAAAGGGAGATAGAGGAGGCTAGCAGATCCCCCGAGGAGATAAAGGCGGAAAAGGAACGAGCACTCCTTCGCGAGAAGCAGCGTGAGGTGTTTGAAGGCCGGCGCAAGAATGCCTATGAGCGTAGATGGTGGTGGACCGTTGCGTTCTGGGCGTGGATGCTGTGTCTGCATGCTATTGGCATCGCATTCTTCACCAGCGGCTTTCTCCTTACGCGACTGGTACTCGACGAGAAGTCCAACTGTACGGCACCCCCGCTCGAGCTCTCGTCGAGCTGGAAGGGCCAAGGCACGGTCCCAGGCGGTTGCTGGCACCCAAAGTCGTTTGACAAGGCCGTGGTCGTCATCGTCGATGCGCTGCGGTACGACTTTACGGTTCCCGTGGAGGATCAGGCTCCTTTCCACAACGCATTGCCCTTCTTGCACGAGACTGCCGTCAAGTCCCCGGAACACGCTTTCCTGCGCCCCTTTATCGCCGACCCGCCGACTACTACTCTCCAGAGGCTGAAGGGTCTGACTACTGGTACACTGCCCACGTTCATCGATGCCGGTAGCAACTTTGCTGGTACCGCTATTGAGGAGGACAACCTTCTCATGCAACTGAAGGACGCTGGAAAGCGCATTGCGCACCTGGGCGACGATACTTGGATGTCTTTGTTCCCCGGTTATTTCGAGGCCAACGTGAGCAGAGCGTACGACAGCTTCAACGTCTGGGACCTGCACACCGTCGACAACGGTGTTATTGATCACATCTTCCCTCTCCTCAAACAGGAGCAGAAGGGCAAGTGGGATGTTCTCATCGGTCACCTCCTTGGTGTCGACCACGCTGGCCACCGTTACGGACCAAACCATGCGGCAATGACGGCCAAGCTCCAGCAGATGGATATCTTCATCCGCGATCTTGCCGCTCAGATCGACGACAATACTCTGCTCGTCGTGATGGGAGATCATGGTATGGATAGCAAGGGCGACCATGGCGGCGAGAGCGACGACGAGGTCGAGGCAGCTCTGTGGATGTACTCGAAGCGTCCTTTCTTTGGCCGGACCAAGCCCGAGTTCAAGCAGCCCCCGAGCATGGCCAAGGTCAGACCGGTCAATCAGATTGATCTCGTACCAACTCTGGCACTCCTTTTGGGCATCCCGATCCCTTACAACAATTTGGGACGTCCCATCGAGGAAGCTTTCGCTGGCAAGAAGGGCAAAGCCTGGGATAACCTGGCAGCCGTATCGCGGATGACCGCTGCTGGCATCCAGCGATACCAAGACTCGTACTTTGCTGCCCGTGGTATTGACCAGTCTAAAAGCGCCACGGCCGGCCATGTTTCGAACCTATGGAGGAAGGCCGACCGTTCTTGGCAGTGGAAGAACCACCAGGAATCGTACGGCTTTTTCAACATGTTCCAGGAGGAAACCCTGCGCATCTGCAAGGACTTGTGGGCCCGTTTCGATGTGCCCAAGATGGTGACGGGTATTGTTGTCATGGCGGTCGGAGTCATTACTCTGCTCGTCTATGCCTCGCGCGACGAAGATGAGGACTTTGCTGTTCTCGACGATCTCGAGCTGGACCAGGCAGAGATGAAGCTGGAACTCCAGGGTGTCCAACCCGATGGGACTGCGTCATACAAGACTCTCCACGAGAAGATCTTCCTTGCGGCAATTCTCGGCGCTGTACCTGGAGCACTGGTTGGCGCCGGATACTCCGTCTTCACCGGCCCTGAGGATCTGGTCTACGCTGTTGCTGGTGGCGCTGTCACCAGCGCGTTAGGTGTCCTGTTCTCGCTTTATGGCTTCGGCAAGACTCTTCGCCATCTTCTGCCCAACAACGTCTGGGGTTGGCTCGCCGTTCTCTTCACGGTCAGCCAGTCCATTGGTTTCGCATCAAACTCATACACCATCTGGGAGGATTCGATCCTCCTCTTCTTCATCACGACCTTTGGCGTGGCGAATGTCTTTGCTGCGTTCTCGGTGCCTACGATACGGGAACGCACTCTCGCGATATACCATTCGGTTCTTTTTGTTATTCTTGGTCGGCTCGCATCATTTTCCAAACTCTGCCGTGAGGAGCAAATGCCCTACTGTACTTCGACCTACTATTCCTCGGCTACCTCCTCAACGTCGTCTACGTGGCAACTAGCCATACCTTTCGCCGTCGCCCTCATCCTACCTTCCATTATCCAATCTTTCCTTTTGCCTACTCGCAATTGGGAGGGGCTCGGGCCAGCATGGATTGGCTATGTCTACCGGATTGGCTTGCTTCTGTCAGCATCGTACTGGGTTCTCGATGCTGCCGACAACGGCGATTGGTTCCCAGACCTGCCAGCCCAGACTCTGAAGAATGCCGGGACTTATATGGCCCAGGTGATCCTCGCCCTGGTTTTCGTGGCGGGCACTACCGCATTTGTCTGGGCGCCGCCTCTGGTCTCGATCTTCAGAACACCTACAAACGCCGGTCCCCAGATCACTGTTTTGGGCTATGGCAACACGCATGGCTCGAGATATCTGCTTCTTCCGATGAACATTGTTGGAGCCTGCATCCTCCTCTCGAAGCCTATGGGAGGTGGCGCTTTGGCCCTGATGTTTTGGCAGATTCTCTCGCTCGTGGAGATTCTCGACCTTAACTCTTTGACAAATGAGGCGATTGGACCCATTATGCTTGCAATCATTGGCAACTTTGGGTACTTCAAGACCGGCCACCAAGCCACACTGAGCAGTCTCCAATGGGACAGCGCTTTCATCCCACTATTCACCATCAGATACCCATGGAGCCCCATCGTCATGGCCCTCAACACGTTCGCGGGTCAAATCGTTGCCGTTGCGGCCGTTCCTCTCATTGTACTTTGGAAAGTGAGCCCTAAGAGGAAGGGAGTACTTGAGAGCGTCGGCAGAGCGCTGGGCATATTTGTTGCCTACTTCGCCGTTGAGTCTTTGGCAACTATGGCGTGGGCTGGATGGCTGAGGAGACATCTCATGCTGTACAGAGTGTTCAGCCCCCGCTTCATGATGGCGGCGGCTCTCCTGCTGGTGGTAGACTTGGTTGGACTCGTCATCACGCTCATCGGCGTCAGGTCCAACACGATGGCGGTGAGTGAGGTTTTTGGCTGGGTTGAATAAAAATGACGTTTGGGTCAGTTCGATAGAAAATCGAACAACAATACCACTGTATCATTATAATTGTATAGCCATGAGCAAAGAACTCGGTCAGGGAGCTGATAAAGACAGTATATGAACAAAAGACTGAGGTTTGCTTTGGCGTCTGACACCCGTATTATTAGCTTGGTCCTTTGCCTCGGCAATACCCTGCCAAAACGTATTGGTGGTTCGGAGAATAGATAGGCATTACAGGATGACGCGCCTCTTTGAAGGAGATCAAAGGACAACAGGTCATTGGGCAGACATGGAGCATGCACCTCGCAGAGCTTCAAGCGCTCCGCTCACCGGAGCATTGCTCAATGGCAGTTGCCATTCTACGTCTTAAACGCAGTTGCTTCGATGCTAGAGCTGGGGAGCTTGGCCAAGAGCTCTAGGTTTTGCGTGCTACCCTGATTATATAAGCCAACCTGTCGATACTTGAGATGGTTTCCGGGGACTTCTACACTTCAGCAAAGGTCGCAGGGACTATAGGTATCAGGGAAGCTCCCAGATGTATCGGGATCTGTGCACGGCAAAACCCCACTTGGGTCGGTAATCAGTTCCCAGGCCTGGCGCCGCCTGCCGCAGGAGAACCGTGACCTAGAGAAGCACAGGGCACGTCGTGGTCTGGCAGCGACAATTGTGTGTTATTTTTTTTTCTTTTTGGTTCCTTTGCCCTTTCCACATCTTCGGATTGCGCCTGTGGTAAGGTACCTACGGTTGGTACCCCCGGGAAGCCCAAAAAAGTGTCCCTCCCTCTGCTTCTCACGACATTTCGACCGCAAACGAAAATTAGAAAATAGAAAGAAAAAAAGACCATCCACATCCACATCCACATCCACGTCCCACCCTCTCCTCCCACTTCGCAAGCCGCTCCGCTCTTCTTCAGAGAAACCAGCCCGCCGCCGCCTCCCCGAACGACCAGATCTGCTCAACTGAACACACAAAAAACCCACACACACACCCTGAGCCGGTTTTATCCCAGTGTCCTCTGCCTCTGAACTGTGCACATTCATTTTTCAACCCTTCCCATCAACCATCCCTTCTCTCTTTTGATCTCCGCACATCGCTGCTGCTCTCGTCACGCGTCTCCATCTTCTTCCACCTCAAGCTCCCGCCGCCCCCTCGCATCGTCGTCGAAACCCTTTTTTCCGGCGTATCCTCCTCT